AAATGAATGTAGTTTGATGTCACAATTTGAAGTCATTCTAGCAAGAAAAAAAAGGTTAATTTAGGTTTATTTAGATTTTTTTTTTGTGGTTACAAGGTTGGTCAAATCGACTGATCCCATTTTGAGATGGGGGTAGAAAAAATAACGTGCCAGAAGAGACGAAGCAACATTCACAAGTTGGAAACAATAATCATTGGAGAGTTTGTGAGGCACTCAAACATCTTCTTTATGGAGTTTTCCCATATTCCTTAGATGTTTACGTATTGTTTCATGAGAGACATGCAATTTCAGGAACACTTCATGAGTGTATTGCCTTGGGTTAGGCTCAACAACCTCTTCAGAGCATCAATATTCATTCCAACATGTCAGTCCCTGCCATCACAGTGTTTAAGGCTAAAGTCGCCTGAACGAAATTTGCTGAACCATCGTTGACACTTACAAATGTTCAAAACATTTCCATGAACTTCTTTGATATTCTTTGTGGCTACAGAGGCATTGTTTCCCTTCTTGTATTCAAACAACATTACATGCCAAATGTGTGTCAAGTCGTGTGCCATCACTATAAGGGATTAGAGTATACTAAACTTTACACTTTATACAGGCTACACTAATGTGACATTTAGGCGGTTGATTTAACTGTTATATACGATGCACGTTTTTGTAGGATTGATTAATGAAAGTGTTCCAAAACACGACATTAATTTCTTGACAACCTAATAGTAATAAAATATGAAAATGAGTAAGTGACTGATACTGAATTCAAGACAGTTTGAAGGGAAGAGAAAATTGTTTTGAGAAGAATATCTGTGTATCTATAAAGCTTGCACATTTCAATAAAGCTATTTACTCCATATGTTAATCATGCATTTTGGGAAACAGCACATTTTTATCACATGGGAATTTGTGCCGTTATATTAATTTTGGGATAGATTGACACAACAATAGACTTAGATTGTGTGTAGCTAAAGTAAAATGTTTTTCCTGGAAAACTGTGTATGTGATATAACTTAAAAATAAAGTTAAATTATGAAACATCAAACCTTTAGCCTTGTCCTAGGAGTGTTTTTTACAATTTTATACTAAAACTTATATATTGTTTTCTTTTACATTTTTGTCCTATAAAGTCAGCACCTGGTTTATTCCAGTGTATCACTAGCCATCCAAGCAAAATACATTATATTATCAAATTAATTCAATTATTATTTTCTAAAGTAATGTTGCAGAGATATATAAAATGAAAAATGTAAATATTTTCACCTTATCATTCCAATAAATTCCCAATTTGGATTTCCAGGATCAACATTCATAAGCTCTTGCTTTTCTGCTTTCTGTTCTGCCTGTCGCATTCTCCTTTCTTCTCTCTGTTTCTTAATTTTGTCCACTTCTTTAACCACATTTGTTCGTCGTCGGGCTACCAACAACAAAAAAATTTCCTGTATTAACATCTGCACTTTAAGGTTAATGAATAAGTGTAGAAGAAAAATATCACACGAAAGTGCAATTTTAGTTTTGCATTTCAATAAGGAAATTTTCATAGTACTTATTATGCAAGTAATCACTGTTGTAGCAAAAAACTGACTTGTGTAGTCTAGGATAAGGTTCTTTAGCAAGAGACTGTTATACCATGTACACTTTAATACCAACCTATATTTCATATCAAAAAATAATAATTAAAAATTAATAACCATAACACAATAATGAATCTGACATAGAGCATTAACCTTTCAGAAATATTACTGATACAGTAAGCATAACATTTATAATTTGAATGCACATGTATTATGAAACATGCACAACAAGCATCTCAATGAAAGTCTTAGTTTAAAAGCTTCAAGAAAAAGCATCAAATGAATATGAAAGCAGAGTAACAATCAGACAGTAGCCTGTAAACTTAAGATACAAATTTCATTAAGGTATCACTTCTGTAAACTGAATTGCAATTCTGTGATACTTTCAGACATTTGTGACAAGGATATGAACACCGCAATTTCTACACAGAAGAAAGTAGAAACACTGTGGTTGTGATTTTATGCAAGGCATTTAAGTACTATCTCTCCCTCACCTCTTACAAAAAACAACAAAAATGTCTTTAATTTATTGTTATTATTACAAAGTTGAAATTTTAATTTCCTAGAATTTTTAATCCAGTTTTCAAGTGAATCAAAAGATAATGAAATGTGAATACTGTACCATAATTTTTGTACATTTTACACTGTAAAAAAAAAGTTACACATATTAGACGTAAGTTATGATTATCAGTTTTTGCTTCGAATTTGTATCAAGAGCAAGCAAAATTCTAACTATCTCATTAAAAATTCCTAATTTGTTAAGTTGTAAAAAAATTAATATTCATAACTTCAACAATCCTTTTTTTAACACAAAAAACAAAACAGGGCCCAAACTAGAACATAGCATACATGGTGCATTGGTGACTACTGTGTTAGTCTTCTGTATTGGTTGGAGTGGTCCAGTTGTGGGAACAGGAGGAGGAGCCATTACTGTATTGTTGATAGGGTTAGGAGCTGGAACCTGGGAATTGTTCTCAGAATACCCATTTTGTAGCTGTGCACGTGCATAGGACTGACGAGTTCGAACTGACCCTAATCACGTAACAGACAATTAGATAAACACACAAAGAGGCACAATAAAAACAAGCTAACTACAAAGATACAGAACTAACAGCAACTAATATGTATATAATGCTGTGATATAAAAAGACAGTTTTATTGAAAATAACTTATTAAGAGATAAACTGTTCATATTCAAAACTATTTTTTTGTACATTACTAACCCAAACATGGAATTTTTTGTTTCTTACATTAATTTTACTTCCACTGAAATGACTAATATACAGTTATTGTCAAAAGATTGCATACCCTCAATTAAATTTATAATTTTAAGAAATTTCATGAAAACAAATAAATTATATGACAAGTGTGTTTGTAGCAAAAGTTGTATTTCTGTGGATGAGGTCTATAATTCTATATTTCAGCAATTTTTTTTAAAAACTCTAAACATGCTACTTCAAAAATATTCATAACTTGACAAGGAAAATCAAATTAATAGTTTGTGAGGAATCTTTAGCAATAATAACTTCTTCAAAACAATAAAAATATTTGTCAATGACCTACTGGCAAGATTCTTTAGCAACTTTGTTTTATCATTCTTCAATGCCAAGTTGTTTCAATTCATTCAAATTACAAGGGATTTTTTTGTGCACAGACGTCTTCAGATCATACCAAATATTCTCAATCACATTTAGATTGGGAATTTGATGAAGCCATTCTAGAACCTTGATTTTAATCCGCTTTAACCATTCTCAAATAGATTTTGGTCTGTGCTTTGGTTCATTGTTGTATTTGAATGTCCAGTTGCACTTTAAACCAAGTTTTACAGTGGAGGGTTTCAGATATTTGACCAATACTTCTTGGTACACAATAAAATCCATGTGTAGGAATTAAATTTCCCATGCCATTAGCAGAAAAACAGTCTCACAGAAGAATATTACTACCTCCATGCTTAACAGTAGGTATGGTGTTACTTTTCTTTGCTTGTTTCATTTGACTTTCTCCAAATGTAATGACTATCAGCTTGACCAAATGTCACTTTTGTTTCATCACTCTACAATATTCATCATTAAAATACCATTTTGCAAACTTTAATTGATTGTCCTTGAGACCTTTTCCTGAGGGTGGCATCTTTCCTGGTCTGACACCATCGAGACAATTACCATACAATATTTGACCTATGGTTGAAATGGCAATCAGAGTCCCACTTGCAGCCAATCCACTTTAAATATCTTTAGCAGTCAGTTTTGGATTGTTAACATCCCAAATAATTTTTCTACTTGTTCTTGTTCTAAGAACCTTTTACTTACGAACTGAGGGAGTGTTGGGACAATACCATGAATCTTGTACTTCTTGATAACAGAAACAACATCTGAAGTTAGGATACTCAAATGCTTGGAACTCTTCTTGTATCCTGTACAAATTTATGATAATTAATAATTTTCAGTCTAACATCTTCAGATAGCTCTGTATTTTTTACCATAATAATTTATTGATAATGACAGCAACCATCCCATGCCTCACCCTTTTTTATACTCTGTATTATACCTACAATCAAGAATTTTCTAGCATTTTCTAGAATTAGTTTCTGTATTATCATATTGAAATTTCTAGCACACTGTAGACAACTCTATCATGGTATCAAAAGGTATGAATATTTTTGAATTAGTATTTTTGGAGTTTTTCAAAACAATTAGTGAAATTACAGAGATCTTTCTTTTAACTGCTTACCTCATCCACAAAAACAAACCTTTTAATAAAAATGCATTTTTCCTATAATTATTTGTTTTCAAGACATTTCTAGAAATTATCAATTTCTATTGTATAAACTTTTGACAACAACTGTAATAACAGTCAAAATAATGACACTTTTCCACATAGACATACAGTATTTCTGATCAGATTTAGTAAAATAACTAAAAATAATCTTTTCATTTCTGTGATTTTAAATCCATCAATTTACTGCTTGGGTACATCTACAAATTACATAAAGGTTGTCTAGAATTAATATTATGCAAACTAAAAATAAAAACAAAAAAATTACACATACTGAAAATGTGAAAGTTAACTATCCAGTGATACATCAAAATGGTAATCACTATCATTATGATGAAACTTAGACAAAGTCAATCGAAGTATATTAATACACAACTCATGTATATCCATGCTCATAATGAAAAAGATTTATCTGTTCTTACTAACCAGTTTGATATTCTACTCTGTGCTTCTGATGAACAAACTCTTATTAGAGTTCAAGAATCTTTAGCCACTATGATTTACATACCAGAACCGAATAGTTCCATTAGTCTTCTCCTGAGAATTTAACAGTATTTAATCTATTTACTCCTTGTTTTATATATAGACACACACACATATATATGTAAAATGTCAAGTATTTCCAGTTTATGCTTATCTGGTACTCCATCATACATGCCGTTGGTAATTTCTACTTTGTTCTGAAGATTTTATGTGTGGTCCTGCTACCTTGAACCTCTGTTTTCTCCATCCTATTTTACCTTCCAATCCACACACCTCTAAGCCTACTTTGACTGGTGTACCATAACTATAATTTAACATACAATCGCCTGACAATACATGACTGATGATAACCATACACCACATGTACCACTATTTAAGTCCACTTTCATTAACATGTTATGACATCATTGTTTGAGAACAATGATCCATCTATGGCATGTCTTTATTCTTTCCTTTGTTTCTTTACTTCTTTTTTTTTTTACATAAACCCCTTGATAACATAGGGTTATGTTTAATTATTTGTGCTCAATATTTTGTTTGTAAAGCATTCTCACTTAAATAGTGCTTATATTAGGCCTACTTGTCATATTGCATTTTGTTCTTATAATGACTAAATACACTAATATATCTCGATTGACTCTCTATAAATGTCACTATGATATTAATGATCCCTATACTATATGGACATTCACTATGTATATTACTCTACTTTTCTGTTCTTATGAATTTTGTTTTTATTTAGCCTATTACTTCTTCCAAAGTAACTGGTATAGTTACAATAATCATTGTCTTGGTAATTATGTTTAACTCTATACATTTAATTAAACTCATATTAAGAAATATACATGACTGTGTTAGAAATGGTTATTTTTTCATTGGTCTAGAGAGCTTAAAGATTACAATGATAAAGCTAATACAAAGTTCAACTACACTAGTTTTTCATTTTAGCAGATACTTGGCCCAGTGTTTCTCCTATTGTGTTTAGCTGGACTGGACTAGTCACTCATCCAGCTATTATTTTTACTGAATTGTTTAGAAACAAAATTACAGTAATTCAAAATTTGACAGGTTTTATTTTCTTGAACAAAATCAATTAAGAAAAACTGACTATTGAAGTTTTAGACTATTAACATAATAAACAAGCACATATATATAATAAAATTATTTCCATAAATTTTCCAAACATCCTTTTCCTGGATAAAGTTACCAAGTTTTCCAACAACTTTTAAACATTACTTTTAAAAATTTATGTTGGGTCACTATAGTATAATCATTCTAAATATTAGTACATCACTGAACCATTACTTAAGCTAGAGAAAACTGTATAACTGTAACTCATTATTCTATACTAAAGCCATTACACTGCTATAACATGATACTCTAAACCAGTACTTAAGCCAGATGAAACTCAACAGGTGTAAAGAGAAAGCAAACTTATCCTCTTATTTAACATCCAGGAGAGCTACAAAACTCCTCAAGGCAAAGTGGAAGACACAGGAATGTGGTACAAGGAGATTGTTTTTTAATTTCATGCAAAGCTACACGAGGGCTATCTTTACCAGCCGTCCCTAATTTAGCAGTATAAGACTAGAGGGAAGGCAGCTAGTCATCACCACCCACCGCTAACTCTTGGGCTACTCTTTTACCAACTAATAGTGGGATTGACCATAACATTATAATGTCCCCACAGCTGAAAGGGCAAGCATGTTTGGTGGGACGTGGATTCAAACCTGCGACCCGCAGATTGCGAGTCGAGTTCCCTAAGAACCTGGCCATGCCGGGCCTGGTACAAGGAGACAGAGATAAAAAATGGCAGTAGAAGTTTACATACAGTCTGAACTATGTTCACTTCAGAAAAATTAGCATTATCCATATCAAAACATTGGTCAGAGGTATAACCTAAAAGATTTTGCCTGAGAAAAAAACACCAAAGCAGTAATAAAACAATAAGGAACATGCTTATTAATACTTATGCCAACGAAACATCGAAGTATTAATTATCTGCTTGTCCAAACAAGGAATAAGCAAACTTTACTTTCTGCAAGGATCACAATGAACTAACTGGAAGGTTGCAAGGACTAAACTTAAATGCCACTATGTCTTTCAAAACAAAACCAGAAGAACAAGTGATAATTTAATAATGTAGTAACAATTAATGAGTAAGTAGACTGTTAAAACCAACAGATAATCTGGAACTCTTTTTCTCTATTCATAAGAATACTCTTGGTCTAGGTTAAATTGTGAACTTCCAAATACACTGAAGGCCAATAAAACCTTTTAATGGGCTGTAATTTACAAACTACTGATCCAAATATAAGTAAATATTCAAATTCAATTTTAATAATTTATACTTTGTTAATAAAATTATCAACTCATTAAGTAAATCCTGGATGCATTATTGCTTTTCAAACAAAGGGCTAATTACTTCTATCCAGATATCCTTTGTTTGTATATTTTAATTTTAAAAAGTTTTTATTTTGAATTAGGCTTATAGTAAAATTTCAACTCTGCTCAATGTGAAAGTAAGCTACTAATTGCAGATAGCATTCCCAATACTGGCTTCCTGACAAGTCAAGCAAAATTTAATTTATTTATAGGTCTACAGATATAATGCAATAAGCATTTAAAATAACATTTCTAAGTAAAGTCACTAGGCCATTGCATACAAACTGGTGATGTATCCAAGCATTAATTTTTTGGTTCCATATGTTTTTACTGTTTATCTGATAGTACCAAACTAAGTTCTCAAATTTTGATTTACCTTGTGGTTGCACAACATGAGAAGGCCTTGGAGGAAGCTAAAAAGAGAGAGAGAGAGAAGAAAAAAAAATATATATATAGATAAAATAATAAATCAGGCACCTTTTTACTATAAGCTTTGTTTTTATATCTAAAAAAGTCCTTAACAAAGTGGCTTATAAACACTCTCAAAATATTTATCAATCATGCTTGATAGACTGCATACACCATAAGAAAAAGTTAAGAATTTTGTGAGATAAACAGCACATAAACTATTACTTTTTAAGTTTTTTCAACAATAATCACAAAGTTCGAAACCAACAATAATTTTCATAACAGTCTCATAACAGTTCTATATATATATAAATAGATAGATTATATGCAGCTATATAGCTTTTAATAATTAATAACTATTATATAACATAAAAATCTAATGAAATTTTATTATTCAATTGTTAAAAATTTTGCAATTTTTTATACTTTCCATGCTCAAATTTACAAACCAAAGTGTATGCTATACCAAAATTATAGGTAAAACAAACTGAAAAATTAATGTAATGACTGTATATTTATTCATTCGCAACAAGAAAAACAAACAAAAAATAACAAATCTTACACAAAAATTGTTTCCATAAAAATGATGCAGTGAAGAGCCTCAACTACAAGATGATTTAAAATGTGTGTTTTTAATAGTACTTGTTTGATAGTTATTTACCTGATTATTTTCTTCATCCTCAAAATGATGTGGAAAAGATTAAAAACCAACATGATGTCATGAAAAATGACAAGTAATAACACATCACTACTAAATTACTTTTTCTTCTATTTAATTAAAATACTGTTACAAGGATATTTGTTTGTATTTATGATAGACATGAATACTTAACACTGTAAATATATGTTAAAAAAACTACAGTTTTTACAAATTACTAGTTCTGGACACTAAATTCAGCTTCAAGCTAAAGAATATTAGCCTAGTAAACATCTGCTATTGAATGCTAAGGTCTTTACAAACAGACATAAGGCTGCAGATGATCAGTCTTTGCAGATACGAATTAAAAGGTAACATCCTTATGGGATGAGCAATTTTCAATAAACAGGAATTTAAAAACTACTGGAAAGTCAGAGATTTTTAGCTTGCATGAAGTACAATATATGTTGCCACCAGCATTTTAACTCAAATCACAAATGATGGTAATATACGTTATAAACCATTTGTTTCACAGCAAAATTTTTTTAACATGTGCAAAAGTAGAGGTTATGACAAACATTTTATAACAAAGGACTAATCTATTCGTGAATTTTTATTTTCTTCAACATAATATTACATGTTATGGTGAAAAAAAGAAAAATTTACAAATAAATTAACAGGTAGTCTGCTGCTGATATAATAATAACAACAAATAATTAATTGTGATGATATAATCATGTTATTCAAACATCTAAAATATTTTAGGCTTTAGTGGTGGTAAAGGTCTTTACATAAAACCTACAAAATATTAATTTCTTGATTAATACATGTTTATCTTAATATATTTTACCCAGGAATTTTTCATACTTTCCATTAAAAATATTAAAATCAGGATAAAACTGATAGAAATCAATTTTTAATTGAAGAAGTATTGGCAAAAATCAGATTAAAAATTCACTTTACATGTGGAATACTACTGCTGCTCTATAATTCTAGATAAGGTCCTGATAACACAATGATAGAAACTTTAACATTCATAATATTCTACTGTAATATGGAAAAGTTTGTGTTTATATTAAGATGTGTGGTATAACCCAAGAAATACCTTGAAACCAGATGTTTGACAATTTTAAAAATCTTCCATAATAGCTTAAGACTTAGTTTTTGACTTACCTTCTTGTTAACATTCCTAGGCACTTCACAGATTCCTGGATTAAGTGAAAACAAGGCATCATACTCAATCTACACAATAAAGATACATCATCAGTGCTTTGTTTATAGTAGATGTTATAGTAACATATATTAACTCCACAATATAAGATTCCAATACCTTTTATATCATATCAAATAAAGCAGAATAAAAGCATAAAGTGTAATATCTCATGAAAAATAGTAGAAGAGGAAAGTAGAGGTATGATGGATTTAATTATTATTTTATGTAATAAAACATTATAGTACATCTTATTATAATGGTAAAGTTAAGATGAATTTATATATGCATATGCATATTCAGTGTACAGATATGATAAATGTTATGTTCAAGGTAAAACTGATTCTATATACATGTTCAATGTACAGGTGTGATGCATTTCGTGTCCAAGGTAAAACTGATTCTATATACATGTTAAATGTACAGGTTTGATGAATTTCGTGTCCAAGGTAAAACTGATTCTATATACATGTTCAATGTACAGGTGTGATGCATTTCGTGTTCAAGGTAAAACTGATTCTATCATGTTCAATGTATAGGTTTGATGCATTTCGTGTCTAAGGTAAAACTGATTCTATATACATGTTCAATGTACAGGTTTGATGCATTTCGTGTCCAAGGTAAAACTGATTCTATATACATGTTCAATGTACAGGTTTGATGCATTTCGTGTCCAAGGTAAAACTGATTCTATCATGTTCAATCATGTTTGATGCATTTCGTGCCTAAGGTAAAACTGATTCTATATACATGTTAAATGTACAGGTTTGATGCATTTCGTGTCCAAGGTAAAACTGATTCTATATACATGTTCAATGTACAGGTGTGATGCATTTTGTGTTTGTTGTAAGCTAAACAGGGATTCTAGACACACTCAATGTAAATGTATTTTTTTCAATGTAAAGATTGATTCTATTTATGATAAAAGTAAAAGTATGATGTTTTGTGGCAAGAATAACATGGATCCAAAGTAAACCAGTTCACTATTGTATGTATGTTGAGGTTAGAAGAGAGAGAGAAATTCCCCTTTACTTCATATAATATCCGTATTTTACCCATTCCCTTACAGTAGTCTTTCTCCATTTCTTTCCTGTAGTTTCAAACAAAGAACCAAGGTTATCTGTTAGTAAAAGACAACAAAGAAAGACTAGTGAACAAAAAAGAAAGAGAAAAAAAAATACACTTTCAAAGTGGTACTATAAAAAAACAACAACACCAGAACCTTAAAAGCAGGTCAGAGCAGTTAAGTGTTTAGTAGGAAGTGCATGCACTAGCATGCAACTTTTTTCCATGACAATATCATTCAGTTACATGCCTCCCTTCAAACATACCCATACTGAGCCTGTTTAGAGAATTTAAACATATTTTTCTTTTTTCTTTCTTTCAATAAATAGATAGTAGCTTGTAACATCCTCAGTAATACACATACACACACTTAACATTGCACATTTTTCAACAGATATTGTGTTTATTTAGTCCATAAAAGAACTAGAGAAGAGCTTACAATAAAATTCAAGTTACAGAGTTATGTGAAGTTTACTGCTTTTCTTTTCCAACTTTCTTTAAAACCTAGAAACATCTTATGAGTCACAACTGTTCCTGGCAGAGGTCCACCCTTTCAGAAAACATGCAAGTCACGGGAATTATGCACATGTAAACCACATATCAGTTTTTCTACAGATAGAAACAAACTTTCTCCATTTGTGCATAAACTGATATTATCATCAACTTATGAATCACCCAAAAAAGTCAAATGCAGCAGCTGTTAACCAATAAATACAACCCTATACTGCAATAATTTTCTTATGGAGTATACAGAACCTCAAAAAATGGTATCATATTATTACTCTTGAATTATTTTTTATTTTAAAAGTGCATAAATTGAGCTATTTTTATTTCATGCAGTTAGTATAATAACCAAAAGAAACAAAATGAGTAGTTTTATTTATTTTGATTGGACAATATGTTTCTCGAGTCTGTAATTTAGCCATATACTATACCATAATAAAATATAAACAACAAATAGAATATCATATTTTCATTGAAAACTGACCTCTTTTCCTTTTGTTTCTCCTCGCTCAAACCATTCAACAGTAACACTTTTTGTAGCTATATTAATCCCACTAATCACAGCAGAATGTATACGACCTGTAATCACATTATAAAATACTGAATGTATTTAGCTAAATTTGAAGAAAGAAATAAGGAAATAGAACGGTATTTACACTAGTTTTAACTTGTAACTTTAGGCTTCATATATGTATGACAGAAGCCAGCTGTAATAACCTAACAGCATGGTAAACTTGATTTTTACAAAAAGCTTTCACAGTTCACATTCACAAGATTTACATATACATACAACTGTCAAGTCAGGTATGCCTTTTTCTTTTTACACACACTGATTGACAAAATATACTACATGTCAAAATTTAAATACTTACAACAGAAGACAAGTGATTGTTGTCAAGCATTCCATAAAATATATAGTCATAAAAAATATAAGTAGATGCATAAAACTTTCAATCTAACAGATTATTCATTCAACAGTTTCTAGTAGAAACTGTAGTGAATATATGTATATTTTATTTTAATTTAATTCAGAAAATAAGTATTCATACAAATATCCAACAGGCAGAGTAAGAAAAAAAATACAGACAATAGTTCCATTACAAATAAAAGAAATGACTCTTTAAAGCATGTCATTACCAACCATTCAGTTTGACTATACAACAGAGCAATCTTTGATAAAGATGATTAAAATAACATAGATCATGAGACAGAAAATTAGTAATTCCAGTAAACCATGAACATTGTAAAAATATTTTTATAAAAACATTTCAAAATTCTCTACTTTTAGATATTTCACCAAAATAAAAATACAGTAACTGTATTTTCAGAACAGTTTACATATAGCTATTAAATACAAATCACTCAGGCCAAAACTAAAGTTAAAAATGATTTATTTCAGCACATACTATTAATTAGTCATGTTACTTTTTATTCATAAACTGCACATTAATGGTTTTGACACAATAATAAATAATTATTTGAAGTTGATATACATAAATACACTTATAAGCAAAGTTTACTCAAAAAGAACAAACTCAGGCATTTTAAAATTTAATTAACCAACTCACTAGGGCTTGGTGTATAGTTCGCAGTGCTCCCACCCTCTCACACTGAGACTGGGACAAATTTTTCCCACTGTCAATGCTGTTTACGCCTTCCTTTGCTGGGTCCAGATTCATCATCTTGACTATCATCGCTAGATGGAAAGCTAGCATCCTCTTATCTCATTGCCTCCTTATCATCACGTACTTGAACAGCACTTTACTCACTTTCACATCCTTCTAAGCTATCCGAGTCAAGTGCATCAAGCATATTTACATAGTAATTAGGGTTACTACTCTCCGCTCTATCAATGAGCGCACATCTAGTACACAGTTGTCATACATTCTGCTTAAGCATCTTGTTGTTTACTGAAGGGCTGAGTAGAAAACATTGAGGGAAACCATGTATTAACATTAAGTGGGATCCCAATAAGTACTTTCCAACTCACTTTAATCCCATATGTCACATGTGGCAATTTTGAATGACAAGGGAAACATTTGTCCCACTTGTAGTGTAAGGGGGTGGAAGCACTGGTAAATATATGTCCCAGTTGTAGTGTAAGGGGGTGGAAGCACTACTACAACTGGGACATATATTTACCCCACCCACTTACACTACAACTGGGACATATATTTACCAGTGCTTTCACCCCCTTACACTACAACTGGGACATATATTTACCAGTGCATCCACCCCTTACAAAGCACTGGTAAATATATGTCCCAGTTGTAGTGTAAAGGGGTGGAAGCACTGGTAAATATATGTCCCAGCCACGGTGGGAGGGTTAAAATATAATCACTATTTGAAATATTATATTGTCTGAAATGCCTAGAGTATGCAAAAATTTGAGTGGGACAAGAAAAAAAAAACTTACATGCCAAAAATTCAGTGCCCTAAAACTAAAGAAAATAATTATTTCAACAGATCTAAACTACCATCTAAGCACCCAAAGTAATTCTAGCATTTACAATGTTTCTGTATTGTGCCCATTTGCACTGTTTTTCATGCTGCTATCAGTAGAAGCTATTATGTGGTATGGATGATGCTGGAGACATATTACCAAAAACCATTAAGTTTAGCAAAAAGAAGAAGGAATGTAAAAAGTACTAAAATATGTTACTGAAGTTCAAGTAAAAGTATCCATCCTGAAATATACTTAAGTTTGAGTAAAAAAGTATCTACTGAATAAGAACTCAAGTTACAAAAGTAAAAATACACTCATCTGCAGTTTTCTCAAACCCTACATGTATGTTGCAGGCCATGAGGTCTAGAAACAAAACACTGTATGGAAAAGATTTACCAAACTACGTAAATGACAAGTGAATAGCAGTGATGTAATATCTATCATTCTTTTAGTTATCTAGAACACATTTGTTGTATATAATTGATTACTATGGTATTCACGGCTATACTTAGGGTTTCAGCCAACTCATGCAGGCAACTGTGCATGAGCTTATAACAACAGTAATGAATATTGTACAAATTTTACTGTTTCAGGATAAACTTTATAAGGAATTTAAAAAACAAGTATATAGTTTCAACCAACTATATTATGCACAAAATTTCTTATTCAATAATGTTGGAGTTGGACATCCTGCACAAATGAGCTACCGCAGGAAAATAGAGATGCTTGCAACTTGGCCAGCCACTGATTTAAGTTCCTGCATATGCCTTGCATTTTGACTGCCTGTCACAAATTTGAGTTTTGAAAATAGTAATGAAATGCATAAAATGAAAGGTAGTGGAGTAAAATTACAAGTAATTCTCCTAAAAATTAGTTAAGTTAGGGTAAAAGTATTTTAAAATATAAAGTAGATACTTAAAAACTTCGTTACCTTTACACTCCTGACAAGCAATTCATTAGGCTACACCTACCAGTTGAGACTGTCAACACAATGAGACTAATAATACCCGATTACTCTTGAGTTTTATTATCTATTTCCTGTTAGTTTTGTAAGGAAAAGCTTTAATAATTAAAACTTTTATACTACAAAATAAACTGACATTATTTTAACTTTTATCTAGGTTACTTTAGAACTACATTGATTAATTCAAAGGACCAGATTTTTATAGTAGAAGTCTTCCTTCATGAAAAACTACTGAAAACTTGGTTACACAGCTAACTTTTAAAAAGTTAAAGCATATCATGCCATCACTATAAAAATAAAATAATACAGTGGATAGCTAGAAATGTTAAGAGTGTTGTTAACACAGTAATACTATATTATCTTAAAATGCATTGTAGTTTTATTCTTATTCATTCACTTATGGTTTTCAAAGCTATAATTATCATAAGTTTTATTTTACAAAATAAATTAACATTATTTTAAATTATATGTTCTTTAGCTCTAAATTTAAGCTACTTGAATAATATCCAAAATAACAGGTTTTTACTTTGGCTAAGCACGTTTGAAAAATGTATAAAATTGCTATATTTTGTTTATTCATTCCCCTAATTGGTTCCAATGCCTTTCAGTATCTACTAATTGTAGTTCCAAAATTGTTGTAAACAGGCTCCTACGAATAAGTAAAATACTTATCTAGACTAAGAATCTGGAAAAATGTACATAGTACTGTTTCAACAGGTGACTATTAAACAAATTAATCTTTAGCGACCCTGATAGAATTCCTGTTTTTTAAGATCAAAATAAACTTTTTCATTGATATATTTATCAATTTATGGCACCTAAAGATTCAAAAGGAATTAATATCTAACCCAACAACATTATTTGCATACCAATTATAAGTTGTGTTAGTATTAAAAGTCATAGCTGCATTTCAACTACAAGAACTTTTCTTTTACTGAAAAGTGACACTGTTAAAAACAAAATCTAAAATACTATAAGCTAAAGCTTATGAAAATATATTTCTCTTGTTATAATAGGACATGCTACTCAGAAGTCACTGTAATCACCATAAGCAGAAAACTAGACAGTTTAAAGTAGGGTAAAGTTTTTGTTATTGTTCTGTAGTTTCACATTTTGGGCATGTAAGATTTTGTACTATACACTTGACCAAGCTATTAAGATTCAGAGAATTTCTACTCCTGGTATTATTAAACTAGATTGAAGCAACTCCAAACAACCATCATCAATTCACAAAGTTTACGGTGACATGAAGGCCACTGTGAACTTTAATAAAGTCAAGCACTAATTATGTACATACTGTATGTCATGCTTATCTTATCTACTTTATATCATTATTTCATAGCACATTTCATTCTAAGACTGTTTACCACACCATGTCCATTAATAACAATAAAATCACTTTACACTTCACACATGACAAGATACTCTTACATAAAGCATACACACATTTACAAATTATTTCCTTTAGAGGACTGAAAAGTTTTAGTATTTGTATAAACCAACATATTGCATCAGATACTATTAAAAGAAATAAAAAGTCAGGATGAGGAAAGAGTTTTATATAAAACATGTATATGGGCAATCCAAGCTAGTGAATGCAAGAATTGTTTTTTTGGTTTTAAAAGTTACTGTGTGTGTGAATGCAATATTCTCCTAACAAGATACTTTATGAAATAAACATTATAAGTTATCTGACAATAAGAATTGTAATATTTCCTATTTTTTGAGGCAAATTAACATTTCTAAGTGGGAAATACTAGCTTCTAAAGTGTCTCATGCAGTAAAACATTACTTAAAATGACCACTTGCATAAGCTTTAATCAACAGAAACAAATCATTTGAAATTCAGAATATTAGTTTGACTAAATATCTGCATAGAAATCTGACAGGGAAAAAAGGTTTAAAAATAAAGCAATAGAAAAGAACAACTAACTTTAAACTTCAGTTAATAGAAGCTCGTAGCCTGTTTGACAAGATTAATAAGATTTACAGTTACATAAAAAATGGACAGAAAAAAAAGATTCAAAAGAAGATTTTTACAGATTTTTATATCTAAATCAATGCCCAAGACAATAAAAAAATCCTCTTGTGAATATTTTCAGCAACCATTTCAGTCAAATAAAATCTTACCTACAGATTTTCAATGAATGTTTAGTTTTATTTCGTGACCAACAACACAGATATATAGTTATAAAATAAACTCCTGAAATTTATACAAAGTGTAAGAAACTTATTCTGTAAGATTTTATCTCAAAATGAGTCTAACAGCAATGTTCTTGTAAAATAGAGATTTCTTTACTAGTAAACACACAAAACCAATGCATGAGTTTAAAACAGAAACAGCAGGTTTTGTTTCACTAGCTGCTAATAAAATACTATAAAATATGCCAGATTAGAAACCATCTACATGTTAAAAACTACTACTGCTAATATCAGAAAAATTACAATTTTTAACAATAAAAAAAGTAATTATATAAATCAAATAAATGATAATATGAGAATATTTAATAGATTTGATGCTACTGTACTCTGATTATGAAATCTCATGAAAAGATACATTCAACACAACATCTGGTTGAGTGAAATCAAACATTAAAGCCTGGAAACCATGCTTTTGTGAAAAATGAATTTGTGTCAATTCACTGAAATACTTCTTATGATGTAATACTATCCTCCCCTCACCAGAAAAATTTCAAGTTATTTGTCATTCTAGAACTGGAACTTTACTGGAATGGATTGGACTGGCTATGGCAGGTGGTTACTTGAAATATCACATTGATCAATACTCTCTGTGATTAAAGACTTTCCTGTTCTTTCAAAAAATGTGTAGTCAGGGAAACTAAACATGTGTACACAGCTATACTCAGTAAGAACCTCAAAAATGCGTGATGCCTGTCAGTTAGCCCGTAATTAGGAACAAAACTATGGTTACAATTAGCTTATTTATTGCTAAAGGTTGTATATTTTTTAATAACCTTTATGTATAAGCATATTACTACAAAATGCAGTAATTTTACAAACAGTCAACTACTGCATAATTCTAGTGATTCATCAGAATCATCACTCTGTAAAATTTTACCATAGGAAACAGTACATGATTTATTTGTTGTTAAGTGCAAAGCTATACAATGGTCAATCTGCACTGAGCTCACCCTAGTTACTGAAACCCAGTTATAAGTGTTATAAGCCTTAAGACATATCACTCAACCACTGGAGGAGCAACTGTGCATGAATACATGCTATTTATTACTCATTATAGCACAAACAAACACATTTGTCAGCCA